TGTGAAATTCCACTGGTGCCAACCCTCCCGAGAGGCAGCCGGGGGCGCAAAGGGAGAGGGCAGGCACTCGGTGCCACCTTTGGGGTTTGGGGTGCGGTGACACCAACCCGGGGCTCCCAGGTCTGGCTCGGAAAGGAAAGGACGCTGCAGCAAGCGATAACGAGTGGTTTATTCTCTTCAGAGGGCTGGGAGGGGGTAGAAGAGCAGAGGGCTCCCTCCCCTCGCGCCCCTTATTACCCACACGCATGCAGCCAGGGATGGGCACACCCCCCAGGCTCGGGCACCAGCCAGCGGGGCCCAAGAGATGCACTTGGAAGCCACAAAAAATAAGGGGGTCACTGTAGTAGCAGCAGATAAAAACCACGGCTGGGGGCAGTTCTAGGGGCACGGTGCTGAGCAAGGGAAGCCTGAAGGCGAGCACAGCCTCTCCTGGGGGTGGGAGACCTAGAAGAGAAGGGAGGACCTACAGGAAAAGACAGCGTGGCCCGGACCTCGGACACACCAACGGACACACGCGGAGACAAGAACACACAAGGCTGCAGAACCGGAGGGGTACCCCAGCCCGAGGCAGCCCCCCCCCAGCAGGCAGAGCCACCCAGGGTCACCAGTGCCAGCGTTCTGTGCCCGGCTGCCCCCAGAAGGACAGCCCGCTTATCCCACCAGCTTGTTCCAGGGGACGGTGTGGAAGAAGGAGTGGGATTTGAGCTTCGCCATGCCACCTCCTCCAGAGCCCAAGCGCTGCTGCGGGTTGTACTGCAGGAGCTGCACAGAAAGGGGGTGGGACAGCAGGATGGGGACACTGGAAAAGCCAGCCAGGCTGGACCCCCGCACCCCATCCTCCCTCCCACCCAAGCCCCTCACCTCTGTGAGTAGCGATGTAGCGGCCAGGCTGAGCCCCTCTGGCAGATGCAGCTGGGTGTGAGGGTGAATCCCTGAAGGGTGGTTTTGGTACAGTGGCTGTGGGGGGCAGAGGGTGAAGGTGAGCAGACATGCTGGGGAGAGTAGGAGCACCCTGCTAAGTCTACATAGGATAGTTTGGGTTGGAAGGGACCTTAAAGAAAGACCATCCAGTTCCAACCCCCCTGCCATGGGCAGGGACACCTCCCACTCGACCAGGTTGCTCCAAGCCACATCCAGCCTGGCCTTGGACACTCCCAGGGACCGGGCACCCACAGGTTCCC